ACTATATTACTTACGTACTAACTAATTAAGTAAGTTAAGGTAGGTAGGTACGTACGTACTATTACTTATTACTACGTACGTCGTACTATATATATATATATATATATATATATATATATATATATAGATGGGAAAATATAAAATATGACAATTTACCTTTGATAAAATACCGGAAAAACCTTTATACACGGTGCTGATTCGGCACTCGTACGTATCTCAGACAAAATGGCTAGAAAAAGTGACGGAAGGATACTGTTTTGGCCCTCTTCCAAGTCCAAGAGAACCAATAGCTCTCTCTGGCTGGACGCACAAACTAAATGGAAAATCTCTCAAAATACCCATAAGAAATGAATTATTTGACAATCTACCCATATGCATCTATTCCAACTCAATATCATGAATAATTCTTATGGATATGGTATTAAATTATTGATCCTTCATGGGTAATTTGATTAATTTTCCTAAATAATGCAATCTTAAGCTTGTTTTAAATTCAACTAATCCTAGCAAAATTTATTTCATTTATATATGTAAGCTTAAAAAATAATTTCCATGTTAATATACTTGGCTCAAGGATTTCACTGGAATCAAAGTAAAATTTTGAAAAAAGCTTTTGTGTGCTCCAACGGCCTTTTGGGCTAGCAAATGGCCGGCTATGGATTGGGCTGGGCCTTCCCTAGCCTTGGCCCGACTAGGGTCCATAGATATCTCAATTGGGCCTAGACTGGACAAAAGGGCCCTTGGCCTTAGGCAAGTGGCTAAATGACCTGGCTTGGCAGGGGTGGGCAGGGTTAGGCCTAATAGAATTTCAAAAAGCTAAAAAAGAAAAAAAAAAGAAAAAGAACGGCACAGTGCCGGCCAAGGGCAATGGACTGGCCCTCTAGCCGAGCTGTGTCTTAATGGCCTTGGATGAAATCTTAAGAGCCTGGGCTGATATAATTGGAAACTGTAATATTGCGAAGGAATGTTTTAAAACCCTAATTCGGCATTGGATCAGCACTCTGATCAACAGAGAAGAGGGTCGGTGAATCTGATTTGAGGAATTGGTGAAGAATAAATAAAAAAAATGAACAACGTGGGAATTAGGCAGTTCTCCACCTCGATTGCCCACCTATGACCATATCAAACAATGCTTATCCATATCAGTTTTTTTATAACACTACTTTTGAGCATATGATCTATGGACTGGTCATCCACTATTCATGATCTATAGACTAGACATCCACCATCCATTCTCAGCAATGAACAATGGAGATGAGCTCTTGATCAACTTTTAAGTCTATCATTTGTCATTAATTAGGATAACTCATATATGTTGCTAGTTCATGAGGATGCAACATTGCCCTTGGATGTTGCAGTGGGTTTTATTTGAGTTTGTGGACATATGTGCATGTAAAAACTTATTATTTGTCCATTTCTATCGAGAAGGAAATTAGGAGGCTCATGTACTAGGTAGTGTGCTTCTCTTATTGTGAATTATTTGTGACTTTTACTTGGTTGTTTATGGCAGCTGGATTCTATTGATCTGCTCTATTTATTTGGACGAAGTTCCTATAAGGCTCAAGCTTTATAAAAATAAAATAAAGCTCACCTCAAATCCTTGTTCGGAAAGCACTTTCGGCAACGAAAATTTTCATGATGGATCTAAAATCAATTTCAACATTGACAAAAAATTGAAACTAAAAAAATGATATAGATCTTACGATCTAAAAACACTTATTTATAAGGTAAAATAGAGTGTCTAAATTTTTTTTTACAATATATACCATTTTTAGATCTTAAAATCCGAATTCTTTTTCACAACCATAATATTCAAGTTGAGATGATCGATGCAAAGCTTTTCCAATGCTTGAATTGTAATTTTCAATGAGTTATAAGGTGATGCTTTACTTATCTTGATAGGGCTTTAGTGGTATCAAACGATTTATCTATTTATAATAGTAATACAAAGTCCATGTTCAAAAAAAAAAAAGAACGGTGACGAGGACGGAAAGTTGATGGCCCAAGATTGTACACCGTATATTACACACAATGTATATAATATACAGATCCAATTACAAAATGGTGGGCATCAGCCGATGCATTGAACATGCAAGTATAATATCCTTCCAAGAGTCCATCTTAGAGTTGAATTTTCAATTTAAAATTATGCAAGTTGATAATCTTGATCACCACAATTGTGAATCTAACACAAAAAAAGGAAAAAAAAAAAAAAATGGAAGAGAGAGAGAGATTCAACCTTAAATATCGTTCATCATAAACTTTGCTTTAGGATTGTATTCTTTTAAAACAATCTATTTTTAAAGTTTAAAATCCTTTTTTTCCCCTCATCTTCATGATCACAGGAATCAAAATGATGGACAACTTTAGATCCAAAAGCCATATATAAGATGGATATTTGGAAAAAGACTGCAGTTGAATGAGATCTTCATTTGAATAAGACACCATTTAAACTTTTCTCATTGTAATATGGTCCCTTATTTCACTATATCCATAAGAAGAAACTTTGTAGAAATTGGTGTCTTTTTTTGCGAAACCAAACCTGGTCTTCTCCCCCACCCCATTACTCGCACGACAGAGAGAGAGAGAGAGCTATGCAAATGTTGCCATAAAGAACAAAAGCATGGTAATCTTCATAACGAAGTTCATATAAGGGTGCATAATTGTAACTCGTTACGAAGGAAATTTAAGTGGCATCTATGAGGCTGGACAGCTTCTCATTGAAGATATCCCAAAGGCTGACCCCTGCAGATTTATCGCTTTTACATAATTTACAACATAATCCACCTCAAATAGTTGAGAAAAGGTTTCGATGATGATGATGATGACATAATATATAATGTGAAGAACATACCTTTTTGAAGTTTTAGATCATGTAGGCTTTCAAAGTCAAAGAACATATGACTGAATATCATATCCTTGCATCTAAAATATCATAAAGGAATTATAGTTCCATAATGAGAATGCCAGATGGAAGATTTGGAAGATAGTACTACAAGTACGGCAGCAGGTTGCTTACTTTAAGAAATGTTAGCAAGAGAATGACCCCCAAGTTCCAACAAGCATGCATGGTAATTGGAGCAAGAAGGTTTCGAGTTTGAGCATATACAAGCCCCAAGACAATACCTGATACCATTGACAACATCAAACCGTATGGTTCAGATATATTTGAGTTTAAATGGGCTTAGTAACTAAAAAAGTCGACACTGGTGGAAATAGAAAACTGTGCATCGGAATGAGGCTTCTTTTAACTGTAATGCATTTATGCGTGCATAAATGTCAGTGAGAGAGAGAAAACATCTTCAAGTGTGCACCTGCTTCAAATAGAAGATACAAAATAAAGCATGCATTCTTTGAAGCAACTAAGATAGCAGTAATTTTACAGTAGTAATCAATTAAAGGACACAATGAAAAAATTTGTTGCGTTGGAGGAAAGTCTCACCAAATATAAAAATCTCCACAAATTTTCCAGGGGACAGGTGGCAAAGGGCAAAAATAAATGCACTAACACCCACGGATACAGGTACAGGTAACCTGTCATGTAAGCAAGAATGTGAGCATATAGTTTCTAGGAATAGTTATAGAAACCCATAAGTCATGTTGACACACTCTCTCTCTCTCTCAAAGAAAGAAAGATGGAAAACAACAAAAGGAAAAAAGAGGGAAATTGGAAGTCACCATTTTGTTAGGGAAGTCATTAGGAAACCGCGATATAATGTCTCTTCACCAAGCGGCGCCAGAATTCCCGTTACCCCAAGCACACAAGCAGTGCTGACAAAATTATATATACAACAATTGCACAAGTTTAAAAGGAATTGCACAAATATGATGATAACCAGCTCTATACACCTCAATATCACGTAAATTATTGGAAGATCATATAGACTTCTTCAGATAGAAACCTGATATTTGATGCACCTATAAGAGGCAAAAGCTGCAGTAAAGACTCTGCCTGTAATGGGACATAATGGGACATAAAGCCAAAAAAATTTAGGCATACAAGGAATCCAGTTCTGGTACAATAATATTTTGTATCACCTTCACAAAAATACTTAGAAAGTGTCTTAGACAAATTGGCAGAAATTGGTTTTGTAATAATAGGTGATCACACCTACAATTTGCTTCAAAATAATGATTCCCAATGTGAAAAATAATTCTTAACTGAAAATAATTCTAAACTATGTGATGACTCACATACGAAACCTGATATGCATTCCCATGTCCATCATCTTTGATACCCATGTCATCTCTCCAAGGGCACACCTTTGAAAAGATCCCATGACATGGCTAAGCTAGAATCAACTACAAACTACTCTTCCTGGCCCTTTTGTTGTTTTTTCACCCTCTTGGTGCACCCTTGTTGGGCAGCCTTTATTTTTTGTATAGAGCTCCCGCTTCATGGGAAGCTTATTTTTTGTATATAGATCCCGGCTTTTGGGAAGCCTATTTTTTGACACCTTATAACCCTCTTCTTCTCTTAATAGAACAGTTAAATCATTTAAAAAAAAAAACCCTACTCTCCCTGGCCCAAGCGAACCTACTGGAACTATACTCTTTATCTTTCAACAAACTTGGTACTTTCTGTGGAACTATACATCCTGATACCGACAACATCAGACTGAAGATCAACGTTTCTACCCATATAGCAACTATGATGAAAATGACTAATGCATGTCCAAGCTTGCAATACTAAATAGCCAGCAAAGTTCACAGAATTATGTTAGCAAAGGAATAGAGACCCCATTTTGCATTTGACCAGCACTTGCACCATGTATTAGAGTCCTTGTGAGAAATACAGAAGTTGATGCAATTGAAAGCCCAATGCCTCCCCATAAAACCCAACCACACTGAAGGTCAAATGGTTTCCTCCATTCTGTTACAACAAGCAATATAAGTTAGCAATCTCTCTTCCTACAACCATACAGTCCTATGATCAACAACAAGCCACCTTCCGAATTTTAGTTCTGAGTCTACAGTGTTCTTTAGAATTCCTTCACATAGTGCATAGAATCGATTTTGAATATATCAATTTATTGAACAGGCCTTAGTTTTCTTAGATTCTGATTATAGGTAGATTGGTAAAAGTCACGTCTCCTTTCCAGGTCCTTTTGGGGGCTTGTAATCAAATTCTGGACAGATTCATATAGTTTATTACATATTCTTATTCCTTTGACTGTAGTTTATTACATAGTTCGGTGAAAGAGAAAGATGGCAAGCAAATCCAACAAGATTAACTCCTAGGCATTCAAATTTGGTGGGGTACAATAGATGAACCCAAAACTTGAGATCCAAAGCTTGGTATAACATTAGGCCTGTGCAACTATAATTGTGTAAATAGATAAAAGTTACTATCGTATTAAAGCTGAAATTGAATATAATTGAATGCTTATCCTTTTTTCTTTCATTTCATTTTTTATTTTTTTTTTTGAGTTTTGATACATTTGAGAGCTTCTTCAAAAAGTAAATACCACTCACATTACAATAATAAAAAAAACTGATTCATACCCAAGTAAAAATATCATGGCCTACCATAAGAGAACAAATTGTCTGAAAATGGTTGATAAGGGCTAATGAATACATACATCACTGAAAGCTTAGCAACTGTTTTAAATCTGCAATAGGCAAATAATCAGTGTTTTTCAAGTTCCAAATTGACACCAACTTTGCCATAGAGGAGAGTAAATGAGAAAGGAACATCTTACAATTGGTCAATAAAAAACCTATTTCCTTGTTCATCCATGCTCAGCATTGGTGCTTGCAGACCCTCCAAATGAGGCTGAGGTATCTTTGACAACCCTTCTGATTCTATTATCCCTGTCAAAAGAATACTGACAAAACACCCTCAACATCTCTATTAATTAAGGAAAGCTGAAACAACAAACCCAACATAAATATGGATGGTTTTGAAAGAACACAATAGAAGAATCAAGGAAGCGATAAGGTACGACTTTGTGGGTTTACGACTACTACATGAACAAATGCAAAGATAGAAGAACAAAAAACACTTAATAGGCAGGAGAGAAAGATATGATATCTAATTGATGTGAAAGAGAGAGAGAGAGATGAAGCAAAGCTAGAAGAATTAAAAACTCTAAATTGCAGGCGAGAAAGATATGATATCCTTCTTTTTTAACGAGTGTGTGTGTGAGTGAGAGAGAGAGAGAGAGAGAGAGAGAGAGATCACCTCATGACATATGGCAACATGACAAATACCGCGACCTTCCAATCCCATGGAACATCCCATGGTTGCAGAATTGGCCATAGATTGATCTTTGTGGGCTAGAAGTTAATTCACAAGAGAGAGAGCAGCGTTAGCTATCAACAAATATCCCAAATATAATACATGGCTTGAAAATTGAAAGACATCTTCCCCTCATTGTCTTCCAGACAATAAAATATAAAACGTTAGGGATCCTAATCCTACAACACATAAAGGTTATCTAGCTCTAGAGCATCAAATATTTCCAGTTGAAACGATCGTTTGCATTATAGGATAGCTCAAGTTAAAACTCGTAGTAAGTATTTTTCGCATGCCTAAAAATTGTATTGAAGCCAAAAGAACAATAGAAACTACTAAACATTCTATATGTGTATTTTCAAAGTGAAATGGCATTAAACTTTGCTCGCAAAACTTCTATGTGAAATTTTTTTGATAGCAAAATTTTAAAGAATTTAAAACCTTTTTTTACAGATGAATTTGAATTATTTATCCATTTTCAAGCATTCCAATAACAATCACAATAGGATCATGCCATTTGTGAGCAAATAAGAAAAATGGATGAATACAAAATAATTCATACAATCTAGATTACCCCAAAGAAAAACAAATTATCAAATGCCAAATTGAGGACAGCCCCAACATAATTCTTCATAAATACTCAAAATTCACAGATTCATTGGTATTTTCTAAAAAATTACAAATTTCATCAATTTTTCCTTACTCGAAGTAAAAGCTGCAGTATCTATACAGAACATTTATTTTTTAAAGTGAAGCACCCTACCTTATCGGAGCAATCCACGTCTGATTCTTCAGAAGATTTACAGAAACAAATACCAGAAACATCATTTCTCAGTCTTTTATCGAAGGATCTGTGCGAATCATCACAGAATCTCACAAGAGATACAGTGCGATCTGATTTGGAAGAATAATGCTTGAAATTTCCAGGGATAGTCCTCAAATGGAAAGGATTTAACGATGAAACAATTGAAAATTGTGAAACAGACATTGTAAACCTTAATTTGAAGCAGAGATCATCTGATGAACCCTAATTAGAATCAGAAATCATCAATCGAACTGTTTCCACTATGATATAATCAAGAAACTTGAAGAGGATCCCACCAAATAAATTATCAGAAGAATAATCCATCAAAGACCCTAATTTGAAGTAGAGTTCATAAGAGAAATCCTAATTTTGAAGACGATTGCAGAATTTCATGAGAAACCCTATTTTCGAGGCCAGGGTTTAAAGTTCAAAGATAAGAGGAAGAAGAGGCGGGAGAATGGATAAAATCAGCTTGTCTCATACGCGGGTGTTTAAACTGATGGTGGTAAGTGAATTACGAAAATACCTTTATTCTTTTCAAATAATAACAAAAGAAAAATGTTTATATAAAGGTGAGGCCCTAAACAATCACCTCAAAATCTCATTAGAAGAGGTTGTTTCAATGCCTTAAAATTGATCATCCCAATCTCAAGATGTACAGACATGACAAAAAAATGGATTTTAAGTCTTGAAAATAGTGAATCTTTTAATGCATTTTTAGATCGTCAATTTTCAAGAATTTGAAGTGTTCATAGATCTGCTCGATCTACACTATTTTTAAAGCTTTAAATTTTATAATTATTTATAAAATAAATTTTCAAGCCATCACAAAGATTTTCAGTTTTGAAACAATATTTTTCAATACTATTTGATGGTTTAGAGCATCGGGCTTATACAAACTGCACCCATAACAAAATTACCCCTTGATTAATTGCACTGGTTTAGGTTCTAAATCATCATCATCAGAGTTTTATCCCAACTATTTTAGGGCGGTACACAATTTCTAGTTTACCATTTTGCTAGATCGGGTCATTCTCTCAAATCAAATCTCTTCTCACTACTTGTTAGATCAAGAGTCACTCCCTCCAATCAAATCTCTTCTCACTACTTCTATCTATTTGCTTTTTCCCAATAGCCAAAGATATTCCACTCTTTTGGGGATAGAAAGTACATTTTACTCTTGTAAAACCTTACTTCAAATTAAGGAAAAGTATGGAAATATATTATTTACTGTTGATATAAAAATGTCACAATTGAAAGTTTTCTTTTTTAAAAAAAATCGAACTTCGTGACATACCACAAGCTATCGGATTTAACATCTAATGAGTAGAAGTAATTATGACATCCTTGCAACAAAGATAAATTATCTCATTGTGACAATATGTACGATTAATTTTAGAATTTTTGTAGATGAAACTCTTCAACCTATGGAACAAAAAAAAGAAAAAAAATCTTTAATTATATCTTCTATGCACTTGAAAAAAATAATGTCTCAACTCTTAGGATTGTATAGTCTAATTTTAGATGGTGAGATCCAAGTGTTAAAAAACTTAAATTTCAATTTTTTTTGAAACCTTCTTAAGACCCACATTTCGGATCGATATCAATAAGAGCATTGCCCAAGAGTACGCTTGATTCAAACCCAACTTTAATTGAATAGCAATGGAGCTCTCTTCCCTTGGACAAAGCAAACAATTTGGAGCTCGGACACAGTTAGCATGTGGGCCAAGCCTGTAGAAATACGGGCCCCTTAATAAATTTATTTTTGAGATGGATTTTTGGACTTAATTTTTAAGGATATGTAATGTCTCACATGAAAATGAAAAAATAAATAAATTTTTTAAGGCAATGTGAGTTTTGAAGGGTAGTTTAGGTATTTTTTTATTTTTTATTTGATTGGGCGTAGTTTAGGTATTTTTTTATTTTTTATTTGGCTGGGGGCCATTTACATAGAACGTATATTTGGAAAAAAAAGTGTGAGAAAAAGTTAAAGTGAAGGTAAGTTGCATCGAAAGTGTAGTCTTGGGGTTTTTTTTATAATATTTTTTATTTTTAAACTCAAAATATATTAGTTATTACCGTATCAATTTTATGTCATATGATTGAATAAAGCTGTCATGAATAGATTTTTTTCATCATTTTTTATTTTATAGACATGACCTCTTGTAAAGAGGTTTATTTACATAGAAAAATTGTTTCATGTGGTGTTGACTGCATTTCTACTGATGCAGTCAACAAGGTATAAAGCATCCATCTTAAATTTGGATGCAATTGGATGCAAATAGGTGGTGCATCTGCATCTAAAAATTAACCGTCCAAATGTTTTTTTTAATAAAATTATTATTTTTAATTTTTAAAATTATTTATTTTGTATATTTATGATTTCTATGTTAAAGATTACATGTCTTCAAATTGTAGTCCAAAAATCCCCCTCAAAAATAGATTTTTAAAAGGTAATTCATTTCTGCATTGACCCATAGAAACCGTCGCCTTTATTTAAAGAGACTAACCAACATGCATCTACTACTTTGTTGATTGTTGATGAAAGTAGCGCTCATATTATATATAACTATTATTTTTTTTCATTTTAAAAAAAAAAGCCTTCCCGTGAATTACTCAGACTTGTCTAAGTAACTGGCTTCGGAAGGCTCGAGTACCTTGGCCGAGTTTATTTTCTGAAGATGAGTTTTTTAGAGAGAGAAGTTTTGGGTGAGACCAAAAGACTAAGAGTGGATTTGGTTGAGCTCAAAGATGGTATTCGAATTCGAAGAGCAGAGAGAATGAAAGATAAATTGGGTTCTCTCTGCAATTGAGAAAGAGAAAAACTGCGCGAGCGATTTGAAGAGGAGAGGTTTTATCTTTGCATGTTTATAGAGATGTGAACAGGACACTTTGAGTCCGAAAACAAGAATTTGCAGGCATCAATGCAGAGAGAGAGGACTGCAACAGAGAGAGAGGACTGCAATGTTCAAGCAAAATATGCATCAACCAAGTTGATTCTATCTCTATCTATAAAGATGTTCCCTTTCAAAAAAACAAAATATGCATCAACCAAGTTGATTCTCTCTCCATCTATAAAGATGTTCCCTTTCAAAAAAACAAAATATGCATCAACCAAGTTGATTCTCTCTCCATCTATAAAGATGTTCCCTTTCAAAAAAACAAAACATGCATCAACCAAGTTGATTCTCTCTCCATCTATAAAGATGTTCCCTTTCAAAAAAAAACAGTTCAATGTTCCCTTTCAAAAAAACGTAGGGGAACTGTTAAAAAAAACACAGTTCGATGTTCGCTTTCAAAAAAACTAAGGGGAACTGTATATATAGTACAATGGATCTCTTAATCTCTCAAGCATAAAAAAATGAGATAGTAAATTGATCACTCACAGTCTCTCTCTCTCGTCTTTTCCCCACAAGTCAGGTTAAATAGCTTCTCATTCTCTTGACTCCCCTCATACTAATCGATGTGGGACTAAATATTTTAGGATAACATGCCCACTTACTTTTGAAGTTGGAGAAGGAAACTTGGCAAACATAGGAGAGACAAAAAGAGAGAGAGAGAGAGTGAGTTGCAGGAGTAGAAATGCAAGTAGCACTAATAAAAAAAGGGTACCAACAAAATGCTGATTGAGAGAAATATATGAAATGCTGATAGCTCAAAATCAGAGCTATATATATATATATATATATATATATATATATA